AAGTGTGGCTGTCTGCCACAATGAAAGCCAAATTCAAGAGACAAGTGTTAGTGAAAAGGAAAGTGGTTTATTCAAGATGCCATTAGGCTGAGAAGATGGAGGACTCTTGCCTCAACATCCATCTTAACATCTCAGTGCCAGCAGAGGTTTTTGTAAGGAGAGGGAAAGCAGAACAAAGAGATCAAGGGGAAGGGTTTGAAAATTCTCCACATGCAGACCAGCACAGTCCAATCCAATAAGGACCTCAAAACTGGTCAAGCAGTTGTCTGGTATGTGTCATCCTGATTTTTGTCATCCTGGTTTTACAGTTGAAGGTCAGCAAATCTCCAAGAGCTGGGATGACTGAAGGTTGGAGTGTGTATCTCTTGAAGTTAGTTCCTAGGATTCTTATACAAACATGCTCTTTATCTACAAGGTACGTATTAGTCAGAGACAGTATTTACAGAAAAAATGTGAAAAGAAATGTGGGGTGGATTACAACTCTCCACTGTTACAAATTTTCACCACTGAAGACCCCCAGAAGTCTTTGCTGATCCTTACAACAGGGGAGTGCAAACACCAATGCAAGGCAACAAGTCGCATCACCAAAGAAACACAATAAATTTTTAGTAGTTGACTCTCAAAGAAATGGAGATCTGTGAGTTGCCTGACAAATAATTCAAAATAATTGTTTTAAAGATGGTCATCAAGCTACAAGATAACACAGAGAGACAATTCAACAAAATCAGGAAAACAATACATGAACAAAAGAGAAATTCAACACAAAGATAGAAATCGTAAAAAAGAACCACACAAATTCTGAAGCAAAAGAATTCAATAAATGAAATGGAAAAATGCAATAGCGAGCACTGTATCACATGCTCATGTGGTGTCTCATGAGGTTAGAGGAGTACGCAAGAACTGGGTCATTCAGGGCTGTGTAAATTATCAGTGGCTAAAGAATTTGGATTTTGCTCCATGAATTGATAGAAGAATGACATCACCTGTTTGAAATAAACTGAATGAATGCCAGTTTATTTTGGAGCATGCTGACTGCACTCACTTGTGGGTCTGACCGCAGGAGGTATGGGAAAGGGAGGAATCCGGTAAACTGCTGACATTGGCTTGAGCAACTGGGTGCTAATATGGGAAAGAAACTCAGGGACTGACAGAATCTTTTTGCTGATAAATCAGAAGCTCAGGTTTGGACATACTAAAATTAAGTGCTTATTAGACAGCCAAGTGGAGTTGACAAGTAGGCAGTTAAATATAAGTAGCTTAGAAGAAATGTGAAAGATAGTGATACTGATTTGGGAGTCATTAACATATTGATTGTATTTAAAAACCATAAAAGTACAATGAGATCACTGTAGCATCTTTGGGAAAAGACTTCTCTACATCAGCCTTTGAGTCATTACAACTTTGTTTCATTCATTTACTCAACACAATTTATTGAGCTTCTACTGTACCAGGCACTTTTCTGTTGCCATCAGAGTTATAGTAGTGAATAAAGGAGACCAATTGTTCACCTTTAGAACTTCTATTCAATAGAGGATACAGAAAATTTACCAATAATCAGTAGATATATAACTTTATTGTATAAAGGATAAGGAGACTATGCGGCGTTGGTCAATGTGGCAGGTTAGTTTTCCCCCTACCAGTGGTGGTGTGGCAGCTAATAGAAGAGAGAGTAGTTCAAGAAAAAGTCACCTGGGTGAGATATTGCTGCAAACCCAAGTTAGATGGTGATTAAGCTGTGACTTTTATCAGCACTTTCTGTGGAGTAATGACAAAAACAGATTTGTGGGCAATGAAGATGAAGGAATGGAGGTAGTGAATAGAGACACAGCTGTTTTGGAGGAGTTTGCTATACGGGAAAGCAAAACAGTGGGACCACAGCTAGTGGGAGAAGTGAAATTAAGGAAGTGTTGTTTAGGTGAAAACGTAGGATTCAGTAACTATTTTAAAAGTAGAATTGATTCAGCTCGTTAGGAGACTGCAAAAGGGAGGTGAGAGAGAGAGGAAGGGAAGTACGAAGGAGGCTGACTCCAGAGGGGAGGTTCTGTGGTGACTGAAGATCAACTTGTCAATAATAAACTCCTAAGTTTCTGGTTTGGAAAACAAACAAACAAACAAACAAACAAAAAATGTATAGTTACAGAGCATATTTATGGTTAAGAGGAATGATCTAGTGGAGAGGGAGTGGAAGGGGATAATTTGAAGGAGTGAAGTTCTTAAGCAGGTAGGAGGAGATAAGATCCAGGATAAAACAGGCACAACCTTTTAAAAGTGTTATCTTAAAAATATTTCTCCTTAACTTCATAATATATCTGTTTTAAAAGAATCCATTAAATGATTACCAGTTACTTATTAAGCTACTAGTTGAATTATTTCTCCCTCGAAATCTGAGTGATGGTGGCCCTGCAGGAATTGTCCCCTGTGTCCCGCGGCTCTGGCTCCCCATTGCACTGGCCGCCACCTGGTGCATGCCAGGGTTTCAGCAGCACTCTGGCGGGGCTCTCAGGATGCTTCTCTGAACGGGTGATGGTTACCTTTTTGCCCATAAATGTTTCTTCCCAGAGTCATAAATTCTTGAAACTCAAGGTCAGGACAGGATTCTTACAGCTTGTCTAATCAACCCCATTCCTTATTTTATAGACCATAGAACTGAGGGGGGAGGTCCAAGAGGTTAAAATGCTCGCCTGAGTTCTCACAACTGGTTAGTTGAAGAACTTGGATGGGAAGCCAGATAGATTTCTTCTGACTCCTCGTTTAGTCCTCTGACTGCTAAACTTTACTTTGTTGCCTGAATTTAAAGTCATAAAACAAAAAATAAACACTCATATAGGTGACATTTTCAGATAAAAGTTTACAGAACATGTTTTCATAGTGTTACAGGAAACAGCTATCAGCCATATACTTAATAATTCACAGAAAAAAGGAAAATAGTATTAAATAAATGCTTTCAGTTTTAGTTTGTGCATAAAGAATTACAGATGTTTGTAAACACAGAGACAGTGGTAAACAAAGGTCCAATATTCCTATTAATTTCCCTTAAGACTCAGCTTTTTCCCTTCTTATTGCATTCTAACATTTACGTACCAATAGTTTAAAAGAGGGGCAGAGGATTAAGTGTAATCGTATTACTCAAGTATAGTCAAATTGCACAACGGATTATGCATTTAATCACTTTGATCTCCTAAATGTCATGCTGGATATAGTTTATTTCTCTCACAATGAGTCAGAAGCAGGAATGGGTTCATTCACTATTTCCAGTAAGTTGCTTTCCACCAACAGGTGTTGTGACTGGTGGGAAAGAGGACTGGAATGCACACTTATTTGGAGATCTCAGAAATGTACCCTGGGGTTCTCACATAGGGCTGTACATGAGGACACGGGCAGCTGAGAGTGTTGGCAGCACAACAGCTACTTGCCAGCTTAGCAGAGGCTCTTGAATCCCCTCTGAGTCTGGGAACACTGTTCCCTGGCACAAAGCTGAGAACAGGTGCTGTGTACAGCCCTGTGGTCCAAGCACGGGTCTCAGCTCCACCACTGCCTGTGCAATCTTGGGCACATCACCTCAGGATCCAAGTCCTTCATCTGTAAAATTGGAAAGGCAGTGGGGAGTTGACCAAATTTTGATCTTTAGAAATTGTTTTGGCTTTATAATGCTACAGCTCTATAATCTGTTGACTGAACATGTAAAGTATATTGGATGGGAAGTCATGTATAAAGATAAGAGCTCAGGCCTTAAAGTTTTACAGAACCATCATTGAGTCCTTTGTGCTATTAGGCAAGTTACTTCATTTCCATAAGCTTTCATTGTGTTATACTTCAAAGGGCAGTAGTGCTAATAGTACCTAGTTCATAGGGCTGTTGTGGGGAAAGTGGCATTATGAATTCAGTCTTTAGAACAGTGCTGATGCATCCTATGATTCAGTAAGTATTTGTTAGTAGTAAGTAGGATTTTTATCTTCTTAAGGAGCACTCTATCATAATAATATACTGTTCCCTGAAATATAAATGCATATAGTTTAAGCAAGTTTTAATAATACTATAAATTATGTAGACTACAGTTTTTCAAAAACATTATAATCTATTAACTCTAAAGTAAAATAGGGTGAAAACCCATAATTTAGACAATTGAATTGTACGTATGATGGGGGAAGATACGGGACGCCGAGGTGAAGGTTATGAAGCAAGTGAAAGAAGTCTGACTTATTTTCTCCTTTGCTTTATTGTTGTATGTAATCTTTCTCTTACATGTTTTTGTTCTCAACTTAGAACTAGAATCCTCCATGGAAAATTTATCCAAGTTAATAGCTATTCAATTGGGGTCCTATATTATTTTTTAAGACAACAGTGTTGTTGTTTTATCATGTAAAAATAAATAGTAAATCTATTCAACTCCATATGAGCCGCCTCCTTATAACTTCCTGCTATTATTTTTGTAAGTACTATTTTGGTGTGAACCAAGGACTTAGGTGCATCATAATTTTGGAAATAAATATTCAGATATTTTTCCTCAGTTAGGATATTGGTAAGAAACCATCACTATTCAGCAGTAGTTTGCTGAAGGACCGGAAGAAACTGGCTTAAGATAAAATACTTATAGAAACAGAACCAGTCCATGAAATACTTTGGGAAAAGTCGGCAGCTCTAAGTTTGGTGGTTGATATCTTGGAGAACTAACTATGCATTCTCCAAAAGAGGTGAGCTGTCCGTGGATGTGTAAGTGACATGATAGTGTAGATGAGATTTTTTATGGACATCTCTGAATATGTATGTCCTGTGTGTTCCACATCCACCCCATCAACACCTTACCTTCACTCTTTTACATGACAAATGAAAAAGGAAACATTTTTGGCTCCTCACTACAATCTCCTTAGTGTCTGATGTGAACAGCTGAATCCAAAATGCCTTCTTGTTTCCCTGAAAAAAGTTACTTTTTTACTACATTGTAATTTCTAGCTAGGATAGTATTCTTCAGTCTCTAACGTTTCTTTTATGCTTCTTTATAGGAGGCCAATTGTAAGAACTCCTTACCCATCCTTCTAGCAAATAACTTAGAAAGAGACATGCAAAAACGATCTCCGAAAACTAAGGTGAGCTCTATCTGATCCCTAGGCTTCCACATAAAACATGTAGCAAAGCCCCGCATGTTCAGTGTGTCCAAGATGTTTTGTAGCTTGCATTTTTCTTAGCTTTTTTCTTTTTTGGACGTGGTGGTATAAAAAGTACTTTTTATTTAGTTCATTTAATCCAAGGTTATAGTCATACAAAAATTCTCTGGACACTTGTATTACTTAATAGAAAGTGATATTCTTAGTAGTAGTATTAATTCTCCTCAATCAGTTGCTTTCAGCTTACAGCACAGGAAATAGTTAAATAAATCTGTCCTAGGTTATTACTTCAAAAGGTAAAATAAAATGTCTGAATATAATTTTTTTAGAATAGAAATCACTTTGATTTTTATAATTATAGAATATAATTTTTACTTAAAATTTATTATAATTAAGTAATTAATTATAATTTAAAAGTATTTTCAAAATTATAAACAACACATGATCAATGGAAAGTGTTTTGGTAAATTATAACAAGAAAAAACAAAGCTATCATACATATGACAGAATAAAGAGTTTAATGTGTAAAATTTTATTTTCCTTATTAAGAAAAATCCAAAATGAACTTAGTTGTTTTGCCAGTGAAAATAAAAACTCCTTTAACCCATAATATGTCATGAGAATTTGACCTCCAATCAGCAAAGTGATTACATTTATTTTAGAGCCCCTTTCCTAGTCTTTAATCTTGTCTCTTGAGTAGAACTTCTTCTGTTTGTAGATGTATATAATACTCCTAACTGGCCGCTATGACATCTTATAGAGCCACATTTTTTCTAGTTCTAAGAAAAATGTTCTCCAAAGTTTATTGAGTTCACTTAAGCAAAATTTAAATAAATTCCAGTCTCTGGTTTAATCACCAGATGCTATAAAAATAATTGTGCCTTTATTTGTAAAAGCATGTACTGGGTCATTATTTAGTGTCTTCTTTATGGTAAGAGTCTACCATTTATTTTTAAAATAAATAAAACATTTTTTTAAAACTTATTCCACCTTGAGTTTTCTGGACAATTATTTTCACTATAATGCTGTTTTTTTCAGATTCAAACTATATTTTGTATCTTTTTCAGTGAAATATTTGCATATGCAAGCTTAAGTATAATTAATTCCAATGTATAGTAGAAATTTTTACCGAGTCATTTATAAAATTTAGTGTCAAAATATACATCAAATAAATGCACTGAAAAAATGTGAGATTTGAGGAAAATTTCAAGGCAAATTTTGCTTATTAGCTCCATTTATATTGGTATGAATACTTTTAGGTGAAGAGGCCCTAAATGAATCACTTCCTAAATAATAGACACTATTGAAACCTATCATAAAAATTGTTTAAAGGGATTTATTACTTGTTTACATTAATGTCATTTGGAATATTTCAGACATATACAAAAATCAATAATTAGTATGCATCTATTATCCTCTGTCAGTCTTGCTGCATGGTTCATAACCAAACTAATTCAATAGAAAAATTACTTCATTGGTTTAGCCTTGGTTTATAACTTTATTTCTTTGTGGCCTTACATGAGCAAGTTTAAGTTTACATGAATAAACTAGGCTCTGCTTACTTTAGAGGTGATTGAACTGTTGTAATTTCAAATCCCAGAAATGAGGCAGACACAGAACTACAAGAGATTCTAAGACACTAACTCTTTCACCAAGATTTTTTTCTATCCAGTTGACCTTTGAGAGCTAAAGCTGACAACACCTTTAAAATATGGTGGGTGTGTCCTTTCTAGAGTGATTTAGGGAGCTGTGAGAATAATGAGCATCCTCGCTATTACCGTAACTCCATTTGGCCTCCGTAACTGTCTTTCCCAGGCATCTATAGTTATAACTGTATTCGCCTTGGACAGCTAAGCACTCTATCTCTACATGGCTAGAAACGTAAAATGGTAATCCAGAGGTGGCATATGTCCATTGGCTCTAGAGATGTCTCTCTAGTCTAAGTCATCTGTCCCCATGTGTGTTCCCTCTGCCAGCTGTTTTCTATGCTCTTAGGCAATGAGAAGGATTACATTTAACTTCCTCAGGTAGGAAAGCCTCTTCTTGATTGAGCCCAAGCTGGAAAAAAAAAAAGATCACTCCAATGTACAGTGCCATGACACTTCTTGGACAAGCAGTAATCACCAGCCCTGGGAGCTCAAGGACACGGTCACACAGCCATTTCACATCCAGTAGTGTGTAAACTGCATATGCATAAATCAGTGCAATACATGACCCTGAAGAGAACCTCTTTTTCTACTCTTACTTCCAAACCCTCTCTCTGTTTTTATTTAAAGTGAATATATTACAGATAGCATACAGTTGGGTCTTTACTTTTTATCCATTCTCGATCTTTCAGTGATATAGTAATTGACATGGTTAGATTGCAGGTCTACTGGTGGTCTCATCTTTTCTGTATGTTCATTCTGATTTTGTTTCTCTGTTGTTTTTTTATGGCTTTTAGATTACTGAACTATAAAAAATTCCATTTTAATTCATCTTTTGGACTTTTAGCTATAGCTCTTTGCATTGTTTCTTTTTAATTATTACAATACACATTGTTAACATTTTAGTCTATTCAATGTTTTACTACTTTATATAAAATCTAAGAACCATGTAACCATGGTTTCATTTATTTTTCTTTCCTTCTTCATACTGTAATTGTCATATGAATTATGAATTATATCCTAATAGTTTGAAAACACAATGTTAAAATTCTTGCTTTAAAGGGTCATATGTATTTCAAATAAATCAAGAGAACCACAATTTTTTTATATTTACACATACAAGGTCTGTCTAGAAAAAGTCAAACCATTGTTAGTGTAATGAGAACAGTTTGTGCTCTATCAGTGTAACCTGGCAACCAAGAAGAGTGGACTGGAATACACATGAGTAAACAATGATGACTTCACTGTACTAGTCAGGGGAGTGGTAGACGCCACTGAGTGAGCATGTATGCTGTGTGGCTGTCACATTCAAAACAACTAAGCAAGTAGAGCAACAAATCTGCATCAAATTTTGCCTTAAGCTTAAACAGTCCTCCGAGGAGACTATTTTGATGATTCAGAAGGCCACAGCTATGGGCAACCGATGATTGACAACTTCATCACAACAAAGCGCCTGCTTATGCATCACATCTCATGCAAAGTTTTTTTGGCAAAATATCAAAATCACCCAGGTACCTTAATCCCCCTATAGCCCATATTTGGCACCCTATGACTTCTGGCTTATCTTAAAACTAAAATCACCTGTGAAAGGGAAGAGATTTTTAGATCATCAGTTCAGAAAAGAGATTCAGGAAGAGATTTTCAGATCATCAATTCAGATCATCAATTCAAAAATTGATGATTTTTAGATCATCAATTCATCAATTTAGATCATCAGTTTAGATGAGAGATTCAGAAAAATGTGAAGGGCCAGTTGATAGTGAATCCCATAAAGAATTTTGCAGAGTGTTTTGGACAGTATAAAAGATGTAAAACTAGGACTTCCACCAAGATGGAGGCATACGTGGAGACACTGCCTCCTTGCACAACCAATATTAAAAACAACAAAGTTTTAGCAACAAAAGCACAGCTAAACCACAGAAAATTGAACTATACGGAAGTCTGACAACAACAAACCCTTCGGCCAAACCAGTAAGAGGGGCAGATGCAGCAGCAGAGAAGGGTCGGGCAGAAAAGATCCACCCGACCCAGGCAGGAGACCCAGGCACGCACGCAGCTGTGGGCGGATCCCAGGTGTGGAGTAGCAGCAGGCAGACCCACTGAGGGTGCAAGGTGGCAGGCTGACCACAGTCACACATTCATGCTCAGATAAACCAGCGAAGGAGCTAGCAGTGAGATGGACCTTGCAGGCCCCAGCAGCAGGAAGCAGGAGGAAGCAGTAGAGGGTACTGCTATTGTCCCTCTCTGACCCCGCCCCCACATACAGCATCACAAACCAGCGACCTGGGTGGCTCCTCTCTGACCCCTGCCCCCCCACACACATACAACATCACAACCCAGAGACTGGGTCGCCCCCCCCCCGCCGTGAACACCTAAGGCTCTGCTCCTCATATGTAACAGGCTGGAACAGACCAAAACATGGCTCAGGAAGAACTTAAACCCCCTGAGCTTATAACTCTAAGCAACCAAGAAATTGCCAACATATCAGATGCACAGTTCAAAACACTGGTGATCGGGATGCTCACAGAACTGGTTGAATTTGGTCACAAATTCGATGAAAAAAATGAAGGCTATGCTAAGTGAAATGAAGGAAAATGCTCAGGGAACCAATAGTGATGTGAAGGAAACTGGGATTCAAATCAAAAGAGTGGATCAGAAAGAGGAAAAAAATTACCCAACAGAAAAGAAAGAAGAAATAAGAATTCAAAAAAATGAGGAGAGGCTTAGGAACCTCCAGGACATCTTTAAATGTTCCAACATCCAAATTATAGGGGTACCAGAAGGGGAAGAGAAAGGGCAAGTGGAAAACTTATATGAACAAATAATAAAAGAGAACTTTCCCAATCTGGCAAAGGCAATAGACTTCCAGGAAATCCAGGAAGCTCAGAGACTCCCAAAGAAGTTGGACCCAAGAAAGAACACACCAAGGCACATCATCATTACATTAGCCAAGATTCAAATGAAGGAGAGAATCCTAGAAGCAGCAAGAGATAAGGGGAAAGTCACCTACAAAGGAGTTCCCATCAGACTGTCAGCTGATTTCTCAAAAGAGACCTTCCAGGCAAGAGGAGCTAGAAAGAATTATTCCAACTCATGAAATCCAAAGACCTACATCCAAAAATTGCTCTATCCAGCAGAGTTTTCATTTAGAATGGAAGGGCAGATAAAGTGCTTCTCAGATAAGATCAAATTCAAGGAGTTCATCATCACCAAGCCCCTATTATATGAAATGTTAAAGGGATTTACCTAAGAAGAAGAAGAAGATAGAAAATATGAACAGTGAAAGGACAGCAAACTCACAGTTATTAACAACCACACCTAAAACAAAAGCAAACT